ATTCTAAAATTTGAAATTTATATAATACTATACTCTGACATTATTTTAACATACTTTATATATTTGTTTCATACTTTACCATGACCTTTTTTTCATCCTAAAATCTGAAATTAATACAATACAAATACAATATTACGATATTTTTATTATATACTTTGACTATTTTTTTAGTAAAAGTTGAAATTTTATCACGCGATACTACAATTTTTTATACTTAAATTGATGCATGTATTTTTAAAAAATACTATACTACAACATTTTTTAAATACTATGCTGATATTTTATTATACTTAACTATGATACTACCACATTTTTTATCATACTAAACTATGAGATTTTACTATACTATACTATTACATTATTATACTTTACTATGACAAATTTATCATTATATACTATGACATTTATACTAAGCATTACTTTGATTTTTTTATCCTACTATACTATGACATTTCTTTCTTACTATGATAGTATCTTTTTATCACATTATACAATGATATTCTTATCATACTATACTATATTATTTTATAATACTTAACTATGATATTTCATCATATTAACTGGGGTCTTTTAAATTTCCCATAACTTTTGAACGCAACGTCTTAGAGACTTCATTCCAACTATTCAAACTCTTCTCTCGTCCGTCTCGAGCTGCAGTTTTGTGCAGTATAAATTACAATTGTGCTCTAGATTTCCTATAAAAGAGAGACACCTGATATAAAAGTCTGTAGAAATAAGTTTTTTTGACACTGAGCCTATTTTGATTTCACAATAAACCCTCCATGAAGTAGAAATGCAGTTAAAGCCTCGGACACAATTAAAGACCTTGAAAGACTTTAGAGACTGAAGTTTAACATCTAAAAACATTCCTGTCGTTGGTTTTCTGAAATTGTCGGGGTGTCTTGTGGGGTCAGTATTTAAATGAATACTTTCACTTTGTTGGAAATTATTCTTCTTTCTTCTTCTGGTGGATATTTTCTAAGTAAGAGAATAAAAAAGCAGCAGTAGCTTCGGTGGTCCACAGCTGCCTGTCTCTGAGCGTCGTAAGCTGTTCTTACCTGCATCACAGGACTGCACGAAATCACGTCCTCACAGCAAACTTCAACAGTTGTCTAAAAAGATGACAGCAGCCCGACTCAAAGGTCGCTTCAGTGTTCTGACATTTGTTTGATTCGATCAGTTCAACAGAAGAGTAAAGACGCCTCAAACTCTCTAAAATCAGAGGATTTCAGTGAGTAAGCATCATCAGCCGTTCGTGTTGCTTCACTGTGACTGCTGAGTGTGTTTTAATGAGTGGTGGAGCCCCCGTGATCATAAACCAGGACGCTTTGATGCCTCATTGAAAGAGCCTCTCCATCACCCCTGAAGGGGGCTCCTCCTTTCTAATAACAATTTATAATCCTCTTGATCTGAAGGCCTGATTGGTGAGGACAAAAAAACATCGTCTTTCTACTTTTGAAGATGGTTTTAAAAAAAAATCAAAAACTGAATTTACCCGCAGGGCCTCCACCAGACCTTCCACGAAGAGAGCGTGTTATTATCCCTCCACATCCTCGCACACATGAAACCCACAAGAAGAGGAAGGTGAATTCAAAGCCTGTGTAATCACCGCTTCGTTTATCACTTAGTCCATTTCTCCCTCGCTCCAAGAACGAGAATTGGCACCGGCGCTGGAAAAGCTGTCGAGAGACGCTGCCAAAAAACCAGGTTCAGCTCTTTTATTTCAACCCAGCTGTTTTTGTCTGAGTGATAATCAGATTTGTTCAACAGCTGCGTCTTTTTGGAGTGGTTAGAAAAAGAAAACAGCCAATTCGCTGAAAAGAGAAAGTCTGGTTCAATAACAGAAAACAAATTAATAGATTTTAACTGACTTGGAAAGGTGGATTCTGCCTGTTGCTTCCTTTTGTTTAACGGTGGGAACAAGTGGGAATAAAGGAGTTCAGAAAGAAGAAGAAAAAGGACGTTTTAATGAGGGAAAGTTTCATAGATCCTCGAACCAGCAGATCAGCAGCTTTTTCTTGCCACAGCGTCAACAGGCAGCAGCGAAACGTGCAGCTACTGTTCTTACGGGGTGTCGACAAGCAGGTAATAAACTGAGACTACCAGGAGCTTCACCGTCCTGCAGGTTGAGCGGGACATTACCCCTGGCGTTACTTTTTTAAACGAAGCCCGTCCTGCACACGTCTTCGGTCTGGGCGCTGAAAGCTTCGCCGTCCCCTCACACCAACATTCACACTCAGCAACGATCTGTCAACGTGCAAACAGCCGAACGTTCATCCTGCAGAAAGCGAAAAAAGGAAATGTAAATTATGATGACTTATTTAACGAGATTAACATGGCAACAGCACAAGTATGATTCAAACACCCCTCCCAACTCAAAACGGCTGCACTGCAAACACACACACACACACACACACACACACACGCTCGTGCACACAAAGGAGTGTGTGATAAACTCGCCGGCGCCCCTCACAGGGTGACGCTACAGTTGATTTGGGAATTACAATTAGATTTATGATGTGGCTGCATATGGCTGAGCTCTCTGTTTCTCTCTCTCTGAAAATGCTGGGATTGGCTGCAGCGAACACCGGCGCCGTGGCGTATACACCACAGCGCAGTCAGAATGTGTGGCGTTTCCTCACACACACTCACACACACACACAGACACACACACAATGGAACAATAGGCCACATTTACTGTAATGGGCCACCAAAATGAAGAGAGCGAGTGGAATAGCTCGAAGCTGGAAACAGAAAGCCTTGTGTTGGAAATTATTAGATCCCTGGAAAGTGAGAGCACGAGTTAGAGCGATGGAAATACAAAATCATGCGGCACTACCTGTAACTTCACCACAGAGCTCTCGCACACACACACGACACAAACAGGACAAGTGCTTTTCTACAGAGAAACCGACTCTGAGAGGAGATTTGGTGACATGAGAAGGTAAAATTAGATGATTTTGGCACAAATTTGGCGAGTAAAGTCGTTCTGTTTTAGGAGTAAAATCATGATTAAAGCTCCAGTGAGGGATTCTCAAAGTGTGTCGACTTTGGCGCCCCCTGTGGACAAAACTCATCTAGTCTTCCAATGATGTCATCAGTCTGGATATGTGAGGTGTAAATTCAGTTTGACGTCCACTTTCTTTTCGATGTTTCAAGTTTTAAAAATTAGGATATAAAAAAACTTAAAGGGATGTTACGGCGTAAATTTAAGTCATGTTGTAACACCGAGTTAGACCCCCCCTCCAGAGATGAATGTTGCCGACCGCTTACTTCTCTAGTTATATCAACTTTAGTAACGACCGCAGGATAGAAATACAGAGCGGTCTGAGGAGCCATAAACAAACCTCAACCAAGACACCACTCTATAGCCACAAATAATGCTCAGAACAGCACCTAACTTCATCAACAGGACATATAGGGTCACAGACATAGTACTAGACACCAAACATCTTTTTAACTTTGACTCATTTCTTTAGCAAAGAGACTAAACACAACTCACCTACTCTCTTCCAGCAGCCACTTGTTTGTGTGGGGGAGCCCTGACGAGTTGATCACAGAGTGCAGTGGAGTTCCGCAGCTCAAGGAAGAACATTTATGATTATTTCTTTATGGAAATACAATCAGACCGAGACGCTAAGGCAGAAGAACTACCGCGTCTGTAAAATGATCAATATGATGATTAGGGAGCATTATTATCAGCATTATTATAAATATTTGGACTTTAAGAACACCGATGTTGAGTCCCAGAGCTCGATCACCTCGAGGTTTCTGCCTGTTAAAAGAAGTTTTTCCTCTTTACTGTAACTTGATAAATGAGGCTCAATCTGATCCCATCTTGACATCGGGTCCTTGTGAACAGAGTCTGGTCTGGACCAGGCTTGGAAACTTCTTGGAATAACACTTGGCGCTGTATGGATAAAGATAAGTTGATTGAAAGTATCCTCCTTTAAATAAAAGAATAAAATGGCTAATTGTTAGCTAAATCAACAACTTATTATTTTAACATAATGACTCTAATCTGTTTATATAATTGAACAACTTTATTCTCATAAATTAATGACTTTATTGCCTCTTAATTCTCATAAGAAAATGACTTAAAATTCTTTTTAAATTTTGTAGTTTTTAGAGCATTTTCAGATCAGTTTGTGAGGAAAGGGGACATTATTTTAAAAACATTAAAGACAGAGAAAAACAGAGCTGAGCATTAAGAAGTTGAACAATATTTGTCACCAGAAACATCATCTCCAGGAAACAGAGGTAATAAAAAAAAAAATCTGAAGTTGTTTCTTTTCATTTATTTATTTATTTTTTTGATTGTCTTTCTCACCAAGTTGTACTGACACTTTTTAGAGCCAAAGCTGGCTAATAAATACAATGAAATGTTAAAACGCACAATTGAATTTTCAAATACAATACTCATCACAAAATCTGAGTGTGACCAGGAGAAAAAAAACAAAAAAACAAAAAGGTGTGTTCTGCTTCTGCAGGTCACAACTGACGAGAGCATGAGGTTTTTCAAAGAGATCAGAGGTGATGTGACCCCCCGTCAGGCGGCACGAGAGCTGCGGCAACAACAAAATAATCATGAAAATAAAAAAAAATGCTTCAATAAATGAAATGGTTCTAAAAAAAGAGAAAAATGGCGATTTACTGGTGCCTCACGTGAGGGAGGCGTCCTATAGAGTGTGAACATTTGACTTTTTGACTCTTCTAGTTTATCATTTTGAAAAATCAAACAACAACTTCACATTAGTAAACTCTAAAAAAAACATAGAATTCATATCCAGTGCTTAGGATGTATGTGTGTGTGTCTGTGTGTGTGTGTGTGTGTGTGACAAGGACAGAAATGTCTTTCAGGTGATGCAAGCAAAAACCAATGATCAGTCCCAGCTTGTGATGCAAGTAGAAACTAAAAAACAAAAAATAAAAGGGTATGTCTGCGACGGATAAACACCCAAACCCCACCTGAGGTCACAGGTGACGGAAATGGAAACAGGATGGAAACGCAGAGCAGAGTGAAAAAGGAGACAAAGAAAAAACATCGACGTCTTCGGAGGAAGAATGTGACATTTGAGGACGAGCGAGGAAAAAAAAGCGTGCACACCCAGCGTGGAGCCGACCGCCGAGACGTAGTGAGGAGCGTCTCGCTTCAGGCTGTGGAAAAACTCTGACTGAATAAGAGTGACGCACACAGACTTTTCCTCCGTTTTTCTCTCAATAATTTAGCCATCTTAAAAATATACATGCAACGTAAAAAAAAGTACCCTTTTTGAAAAAGCAGACCCACTTTTTTTGAATTCATTTTTCAAACACAAGTTTGGTGTATCCTTCTCCCCGTGATTCGGAGAAGACATTTACAAATACGAATAAAAATAATAACATTTCGATCATTTTTGTACCGATTGGAAACACATTTAAAAACACAGTAAAGGGATCGATGATTAGAAACTTCTCTGACAGTCAGCAGGTTCGGAGGCTGCTCTTCCCCTCTTTTTTTCTCTGATTCTCGGCCCTCTTTAAAAACCATAAACTCTCGAAGTGTTTTTGCAAAAGTTTAAACTAAAAGTGTCGCTGCCTTCAAATGAAGTCGTGGATATTGTGCTCAAAAGAGGAGGCCTCACGAAAACCCTCACGAAATTTGAAGTTGTCTTGCAGGATTAGCGTAACTAACAGAATCCAGTTTTTGGAGTATGATGAGTGAATATTTTAAAAATAAGTGATTTATCTTCAAACGTTGGACGTTGGTTTTACTGCGATGCTTTTAAAAGCACGGATGTTGGGAAAAGCCCTGCTCTCGTGAACCCACCAAACATCGGATGTTGAAGAGACGTGCAGATCAAGTCAGTATTGGGTCAGTGCGTCAACGATCACATCTAGACGTCAGTGCGACGTGCAAAATAGGTTAGAAATTTTGACATCTGAATTGGACCTTTTTTAGACGTCGCTGTGATGTTTAGAATTTGGACGTCACAAAGTGCAAAATGGATCCAAGATTTCGGCGTCATTATTGGACCTTTTAGACGTTGAGATGACGTCCACATTTGTACCTCATCGTTGAAAAAATAAATTACATAGATGTCATTTCAACGTCACATTGCACAGTGGGAAACCTGGCCTGAACGTGACATCAGGCTCTGCTGACCAATCAGAACAAAGTATCCTAATGAAGCTCTGTTTCGCAGCATTCCCTTGCACTGAGAGTCCATTTCAACTCTCAGTTGTTCCTCCTCTCTGCACTTTGTTAATGTTTACGCTCACTCTGATGACTCCTTTGCATCCGAACTTTTCATGAAACCTCCATCTCTTAACACCTTCTACGACGGCCATGACTTTGTAACAACAGATAATCTAACAGAAGCTCACAAAGGCCTGGGGGAAGCTAAGCGGTGTTTACGACTAGCCTAAAACGCGTAACTTTTGCGCTATTTCAAAGCTGTGTAAAAAGTAACACCCACAAACTTTAAAAAACTTTTTATCTCTGTAAAAGCAGCCGAAACAAAATTAAATGCATATCATGCAAAGCTACGATTAAGATAATTAGAGATAAAACTGGTTTCTTTCATTAGCCTCACTTTAGCTTAAAGTTGCTATATTTTCAATGTAGTTCAGCAAAACTAGAAATGTCAAATTTTAGCCTTTTTTCATGAAAATCCAGGAGTAAAACTGTGTTCTTATCGGGCCTCAACACAACTTCACGACTTCCAAATGAAGGCGGCGCGACACCAGATTACCGACGACTCACTAACAAGTTCTTCGACGGTTTTCCTAAGCGTTTGGCCACAAGGAACTCTGGGCAATGTGGTTCGTGAAAGCACCGGAACTGCGAGTCTGGCGACATGTCAGAGCTTTGGAGGGGCGACACCGAGTGTGACGAAAACACATCCTCCCTGAGCTCTGCTGGGAGGGGAGCCAGCGGTTAGCGGCGGCCGCGGCGGCGGAGGATCTCACCTCATCAGGGTGAAAAAGCTGATTGTGTGTGTGTGTAAGACTTTTGCAGCATTGGAAGTTAAGACTACAACATCCCGAGTGAATGTGAATGTAGGTTTGGCACATTTGAAGTAAATCTGTACAATGCCTGGGTACTCACTGACTCAGTAATCATAATAATAATCATAATAATAATAATAATAATAATAATATGGTATAGAAGGGATTTGCTCCCTTTAATTCACTGACAGTCCGACCACTCCTCTGTATGAAACAAAATAAGAAAAAAAAAACACATTCACAAGCTGGCACATCATACCTGAGCTGGGGTATTAAAAAAGAAAACAGTCATGTAATGTAAGCAGTTTGTCAGAAAGAAAGAAAAGATGTCGATGCACTGTATTGGTAAGAAACAAAAGTAAGACTATAAGATTACAATAGCTAGGATTTATATTAAAACTTTTTAAAATTTCAAGTTCCGACAGTCCAGAGTTTGTACAGGCAGTGACCTGTCAGAAAAAAAGTCTATAGAACAAAAAAAAAGAGGAAAATAAAAACCCACAAAAAGTAAATACATGATGATAAAAACTAAATCACTCCTTAAACATTTAAGACCAAAGAGCTGTTGAAGACCAAATTCCTGATGCTTCAAAATCCATGCATGCTCTTTACAAACCACACAGCCATGTGTTCCTCGCTCTCCTCTTCTTCGTCTCTCTCTCTCGCTCTCTCTCTCTTTTTCTCGCCGTCTTCCTCTCGTTCGCTCCTGTAAGATTGTCAAAGTGTAGGAAGCTGAAGTTCACCGTCAGCTGCGTGTCTTATTTAAGTCACATTTTTCCCATCAGCCCTCTTCTTCAAACGGACGTCCATCAACGTTCTGTCCAAGACCTTTCTGAGCATGTCCGCTGAGTGTGAATCCTGTCTGAGCACGCTCAGTGCATGACGCAGCATGTCCTGAAAGTCTGCCTGGAGGTCTCAGTAATAAAGTGTGTTTTTAAAAAGTGTCTCTGAGTATAACAGGAGTTTGTTTTTCTCTTTTTTTGTACAACAGCACGCTCAGTTGGCGCTGACAGCCTCCCGTGTCTCATGGTCGCTGCTATAGTCTGACTTGGGCTCGTCCTCAAAGTCCTCATACATGTCCATGTCGTCGTCTCCGTTGGCGGGGTCGCTGGGCAGGTCCAGCGCTCCCATCCCGCCTCCGTTGCTGCCCCCGCCGGGCTCGGACTTCACCGTGTACGTACTCTGGATGACGGGGATGGCGGGCTCGGGGCTGGCTGAGTTGCTGGAGCAGTCTGAGGTCAGGTGCGGGGATGGGGTGGCTGTCGTTGCCATGGTTATGGCGCCAGGGTAGACTCCGACGCCGCCCGGGCTGCTGCCGAGAGGCATCGGGGGCTGAGGCCTGAAGAGAGGAGGGAAAACGAATGAATTAAAAAGACGTAAAAAACAGGCGAGTCCTGATCCAGAACTATGTGACCGGGGCTTGTTGTCACACTTTTTACACCCTTGTATATTTCTTGGAATCAAAACATCATATATTAACAAAATGTGTCTCAGACGACAGACCAAAGTCTCAGGTTTATATTTATATTCATGTCATTTTCATATGACATGTCTGACCATGTCTTCTCGCTCTCTCCTCTCCTTTAAACCACCCTGTTCGCTATAAAAATAAAGTCAATATTTTAATATGACAACAGCTGATAAACAGACTCTCTCTGTTCATTTTAATCCCTTTTAAACATGTGATACTAACCCCAAAATAACTGAGACATGTTCCCCCAAATGACCATGTTTGTTAATTAAAGCTCTAACTTAAAGTTAGCTTAAAACAGAACAATGACTGAGGTATGACAGGACGACTTAATCTCCCCTCTAACAAGTCCACATGTTTCACTGCAAGGATTTTTATCTGGAAGAAGTTTATTTTAAAATATTAGTGATGGGCACGGCAGTTCTTTAGATGTACTGAATCACTGGAATTAGTTCAATAAAAAGATTTGTTCACCAAATCACCGAATCATGTAGCGCTTGTCGGGAGAAGACTGCGACTCTGACCTGCTGAACTGATACACAGCTGAACAGTTCAGGATTCAGTTCAGATCAGAGCTGCTCAGTAAATTGGACTCAGTGAGGGATTCGTTCACTGAACGTTTAAAAGAATTCACATTAAACATTCACCGTTCCCTCGCTAACCGCTGCAATGATGACTTGTTACATGCTGTGTCCTAGTGTATGCAAGTTATTGTGGAAATTTAGCAGTGAAAAAAAGTAGTTTTGTTTGACAAAAATGATTCCAGAGAGTGTCGTTTAACGCGTGATTCGTTCACCAAGTGATTCAGGCATCAGTGTATGTGGTCACTCGTTAGCCGGCTGCTCGACTGGTAATGCTGTTTCTCACCTTAGCTCAACTGAAGTGAGAAACGAACGAATCACTCAAGGAAGTGATTCAGTTCAATACGTACACGCAAACGATTCGGTTCTTTTGAACGAATCATTTGCGAACGACACAACACTATAGAATATATAGTGTTATTTTTTTAACTCTAGGTTTTGCGAAATGGTTCAGTGGCGCTCATCTCAGCTCACAATGTTCTAGTTTTCTTCCATGTAAAGGAAAAAAAAACCTACAATTCCACTTTTTTAGTCGCGCCCTCTGGTTGCGAAGGTAAGCGCAATGTGACAACTTACCCATGTGACAAAACAGCCCCGGTCTCCCCTATCACTGAGGTCAGCAGCACTGAGTTTCTCTGATGAACTGCTGAGATATTTACGTCCGGACCGAAATGATTGACTGACCGACCCAAAACGTTTCAGTAATAAGAAAATTGTACGATTGGGTCAGAGCAGCAGTTAATACGCTGAAGTGGAGAGATTAGGGTCTGAGTGATTCATGTAAGCTCCCTTTGAACAAAAACCACTTGAAACTAAACATTAATATCCAGGATACTTCAGTCAACCGGCAGCTCGTTTCATCTGACTGGGCATGTCCTAACACGGACGCCGCTGCCAGCTCACCGCAGCGAAGGAACCTGCTACGATTTCGAAGGAATGAAGCTCGACGCCCATCACTCAAACAAAACCCTCCGGCTCCTCCAGCGAGCCGCATGAAGCAGGAAAACGTCTGTCACTTTGCTTACCTAACAGTTTTCTCTCCGTCTCCTGAAACAATTAGGCTCTGACAGACTCATTTTCACATTCAACGCTTTGAAAACAACGCTGGTTTAGTTATTACCGACTGCTGCTT